TAAAAAATTGAGTGGCGACCTGACCCCAGCCGTTATTATGAGTGGTTACGTGATAACGGTTGAGGTCAGGTCGCCACTCAATTTTTTACTTGTTTTTATGTGTTTTTGCAGCTGAAAATGAGCTGGAAGCAGCTCGAAACGTCTTACCTTTTAGTGTTTCAATAATTTTTAACCTTGTTTACTCGTATTTTAATTAATTCTCCTTCTTTATTTATTTCTACCTTAATTATTTAATCTGGAAATATTGAACCACATAAATTCTACTGAGAAACTAATTCTTGAATTCTTCGGAACGTTTCATCCCACAAAAATCTGAAAAAGAAGTATTCTCCCGCCAAAAATCTGCTGAAAATAGCCAAAATTTCAGTTTTGGTTCCTAGTTTTAAATGCCCATGGATTTTCCCGCCAATGGCGCTCACAAAGCTACTCACGCTCTTCCGCCGATGTTAGCGATCTGGACTAATCTGTGAGGAAGAGGGAGGGTGTTAGAAGTAGATAATTATCTTTTTGGGAAAAATCTTTGGTCATACACCTGAGGTGATGCTTTCAAAGAAGGTTACATAAAATGATTATCAATAATTTTTTATACATAATGTTCTCTAAAAGATTCTTACTTGTGATGTGTAATTTTTTTTTCATTTACCTGCTTTTCGATGGTCAAAATCGAGTCATAGTATAAAAGCACTTAAAAATGACTGTGAAAGGTATTAACTTCTTTTTTGGTCTGAACTTAAAATGAAAATTGTAGCCTTATTTCAGAAAAAGGCTACAATTTTCATTTCAAGTTCAGACCAAAATAGAAGTTAGGCACCAATCTTAACGTCATCTGACAGTCTTCAAAACCCTTAATCATGAATATGATTACTTCCTTATAGTGAGTAGGTTAGTATTTACCTCTGTCTTACAAGTAAGTAAAATCCTTTCAAATTTGATTCCTTTTAATTTGAATGCAGGTACATCGTGGTGTCAAAGGTTTTGTCTTAGATGATTTTTACAAGAAACCGGTTGCAAATGCATCGATCCGTGTCTCAGACATTGCTCATGTTGTCCACTCAGCTGTTGATGGGGACTATTGGCGCATACTTGCCCCAGGAAAATATGCAATCACGGCTTCAGCTCTTGGGTGTGTATATTCTCTCTTGTTCTTTGGAAGATAGATTATTTAATTTCTTTTAGCTCACCTTATCTCTGAAGATCACCTGATTCACAATGAGTTTAGGTGAATTTGACTTATGTGTACAATTAAAGGAGAGATTATGGCAAGATTCAGATTTTATGTAAAAAACGTGAATAAGCATCTCAACTCTGCCAAAATTAAGCAAAGCGGTACAGCATTTGCCATTAAGTAACCAAGCTTACATGGTAATATCAGTAATAAGCTTTGTTAAGACTCTGATCCCTAGTAATCTCTACATTTCTATTCATATTTCCCTTAAAATATTTTAAGAACATATTTGTAGGTATAAAAATAGTGTAAACAGCTGCTCTGTGTAAAGCTGACTTTGAATTTAAAGCAAACTTTTAATCAACGTATAAATCACTTAAAAAGGCTTCCTTTTGGCTCAACTTTGAAAGACTATTTTTTAAAAAATTATTTTCAACTTTTCCCTTTTTTCAGCTATATCCCAGCAACTATGAATGTCACTGTTGAGAACTCTGTTGTACCCAAGTGGCTGAATTTCTCGCTGGAACGGTTGGATCAGAGCATATGGGCTGTGAATAACGATTACGGTCAGCTAGAAAATGTCAAAGTGCAACATCAGTATAGCTCTGCAGAGGAAATCTTCAAAAAGTTGATGGACCTTGAGTCCTTTCAGCACAAAAATGATAGGATTGCTGAATACAAGAAGAATCCATTGGGACTTTTGCCTTCAGCTGGCTCATTGAAAATCACAGCTCAGGTATGAATTTATTTGAAATTTTCCAAGATAAGTGACTATCGATAAAATAAGGGATTGTATTGAGGCCTTGTCTCCACGGGACGTTTTCATGGGATTTGTCCCAAGTTCGAATCGCAGGAATGAAACTTCTGGGATTTTTCCCAGTTACCGTCTCCACAGGACGGGGCTCATACAGTCCTGCGACTAGTTTTCGCGGGAAGATAAATTGGTTAAAGTCGAGTATTTAACCGGGATTAAAATAATAATTGCACTCAATTGACAATTAGACACATTATTTTAACTAAACAAACATTAACAATGTAGTAATGAATAAAATATGGCACAATTCGTTTTCACTTCTTCTTCTTCTCTCAGTGGGTCCTAGGGGTACAAGTACCATACTTGGTACCGGGAAAAATATTGATTAACTCAATATTTTTCCCAACTTCGTAAGTGGGATTTTTCCCTGGGACAAATCTCGTGAAACGGCTCGTGGAGACAAGGCCTTATATAACTCAAAATTGATTGATCGATCCTACTGCATAGAGAAGTATCTTGTGAAAATTTGGCACAAAAATTATCAAATCAACTAAGCGTCATGCTACTCTGAAGTTGCCTACTCAAAAAACCTAGTTCTGAGAAAGAGCTATCTATTTAAATTTTCATAAGTTTGTGGGTCAAAATTGTGTAATCTTAAAGCCATTTTACACTGTCAGCCGGTTTAAATTGAATTAAAATGTTTTCAGCTTAGTCTTTTGGTTGTTGCGGTGTTTTTTGTTGAAAGGTAAAATTCTGAGTTATTGACCTAACTAGATAAGACTACTCGTCTTCATAAAAAAATTTGCCCTGGCGCTTTGAGGTTCTTTTTCTAATAGACTCTGGAATATCTGTGAGATACCCATTAGTGAAGAGGGTATTTCGTAAACATGTTTTATTATTTTTTAAAAATTCACACAATACACAATGTCTAACACTCAATTAGCAAAGCAGATTTTCAGTCAGCTTGTCATTTAGGATGAAATTAACCTTAATGTAAAGTTGATAGGTGGCCGAAGTGCGGAATAGATGAGAAATGCCGAGTTGTAAGGAAACGTTTATTTTATTTTGTCATTGCTTTTCAGCATTACACCATTGTCATGAGAGTTACCTGAAATCCGTATCACATAAGTTCAACATTTTTTACCATTTATTGTCTCGTCTTTTTCCTAGAGGAACAACAAATCAAGATGGAGTTCTAAGTTCTTAAAAAGTCATTGAAAACTTGGGAAAGTCAAGAATTTTTCCCTAACCCTGAAAAATCAGGGACGCTTCAGTGAAATTTGCTGTTGAACCTTGAAATTCTTCCTTCAAGCCGATTTTCAAGAAACTCAGCGTTAGAAATAGGTTTTGAAAAGCATTTTCTTGAGAAATCATGCCAAAAAATATCAAGAACTCACCAAAAATTCTGGGAATTTTACATTTTAAAACCCTGAAAATGAAAGTCATGGAATAGTCAGAAAGTACTAAAAGTCAAGAAAGTTTTTCACCTTGAAAAGGAGATTTCATCGGGACGCCCTGAAAATAATGTCAGTATTAAGTAAAGTAAAGAAAACTTCTCGTACTTTAAAACCAGATAAATCAATTTGTTTCAAAGAAAAATTCATGATGTTTAAAGAGAATTGAAATAGCTACTATGATCTATGCAAAAAAAATTCAAAATAATCTCTAATGCAGTAATCTTTTGTGTAATCTTTAATGCAGAGCTGGGCAGAAGATTTCATATTAATTTTCAATGAAATCATCTATGTATTGTCTGTACAGGTTGGTGCCCCTGAGGAAAATAAATTTCATATTGGTATTCTCGGAGGCTTATTTTCCACAGAAATGTTTACTCAGGAGTTCCTTATAAAAATTGCCCGGCATTTTACGGCAGGATTTCGCACCAACAGCTCAATAGCACGTAAAATTCTTCGACACAGCGTACTTCATTTAATTCCAATTGCAAATCAAGTGAAATATGCTGAAAGTACAAAGTGTGAGACTGACAAACCTCCAGTGAGTGTCGCGCCCATAGCTCTCTTGTTGGCAAATGGAAGGTACAATCAATCTGTCCTTTCTAATGCAGTCATGAAGCTATTTCTGGAAGAGAAATTTGATGCAATCATTTCTCTAGAAGGAGGTGGACTGGTATTACGGTGAGCTTTTTTCCAAGTATTTTTTACTGCATGAGCACCGATTGCTTGTCATAGTTCAGTGATTGCATGACTAATTATAACTGTGTAATAATAAACATGATACAAAATCTTCAAAATGGATGAATCTTACTTATTGGTTTTTGAGTATGTGTGAGTGTTGTACATGGAACTATCTTTAGAGGTATCTGTAAGTTACATAACTCTGATTCTCCAATTTTGTTTAACATCTCTGCCCCCCTCCCCCTCCTTCTTTAACAGTATTTGTCGTTATCTCTGTAATTGGAAAATTGCAATCAGACCCTTTTCTCGTCCACACTGAAACTTCACATAATTCATGGACCTCCCTTGTATTCCACAATAAACGGCAGATTATTTCCATTTGAGAAATTGAAACTCAAAAAACTGCCTGCACTGATAAACTAGTGCATTATCATTTGGATGACAAGATTTCATCAAACAGTCAACTGTTTCACTAAATCAAACATTTTCGAAAATGTAAAGTAGGTTAAAATTTTATTCAACTCGAGAATCTCGCTTTAGTCACAGGAATCAAGTAATATGTTTGAAACTCAATTTTTCCCCTGCATAATAATTATGGTTTTTGAAACATGTTTCCCTAAGACCACCCTTTGTCCAATTCAGCGAATTGGTGATACTTGTTTACTTTTTATGTAAGCAACCTCTATTCATCAGATTGCATACTTTCACTGAGCAAATCAGTATCAGAGCAAATAAAATGGCGATTATTAGATGTAAAAATGCGTGTAAAATTTTCAACACTGTCTCGTTCGAGCAATGTTAACTAATCTTCAACTTTACCCTTTTCTAGATCACCAGAAGTTTCTCCAAACCGTATTTCTTACAATTTATACAAGAGTTTTGCTGACACATTTGATGCTCAACTTCATCCCGATTTAGTTAAATGTGATGGCAAAAATGCACCTCTTTACGACCTGAAGGAACGACTCTTCGTGGAACTTGGCAAAGAACTTGAAAATACGCTCATGCTCTCCGCTCGGCTTGATTGTTGTAACTTTGTTCCACCAGAACGCGCCCATGAAGTCTGGATGTACACTCTGAATCCCTTAATGAGTATCCTCAAAGGTCTAGTCACAGGAATTATTGGCAGAGTCCAGGATACAAACCAAGAGCCGATGAGGAATGCTATCATCAAAATTAAGGGCTATCAGCAGGATATTGAAGTGTCTGAAAATGAGGCATATTTTAAAATTATCTTATCTCCTGGCGAATACGACCTACACGTAAGTGTTTAATCTGTGTAGTATTTGACATTTTGGACACAATAGTTTTTGCAACTCATTCAAGAATTTGATCGTTGGTGCAAGGCTTACCCAGAAAAAACTAGCTGTGAGCCCTAGTTTTTTAATGTGAAATAGAAGTTTTTGTTTCTGCTATGTCAGCTACTGCCAATTTATGGTAGGAATATGTTGCTAAAAAGACAGAAGCAGTGAATCAATTAAGAGAACCTTAGTGATCATACTGATGCAATGTATGAGTGACAGTAATGATCATTGAGGATACAGTGGTGAGAGTAGCAGGGAGTTAAAGAAAAAGTTAAAAATAAAGCTATCTCGTAAGTGCAAAAGCAATATAAATGGTATCATTTAAACACCGTTTGCATTCAAGCTACATGGAGTAAATTTTAAGACCAAATTGTACAACCACTTGAGCTCCATCATTTTTTCATCCATGATGCTGAACCCTCAAACTTCTACGTCAGAAAGTGTCGTTTTCAACTAAACTACATCCATTAATATCTCTTTTCACACAGGTTATCTGTCCGGATCACAAAGAACAAATTGCTCATGTGAAAGTCAGTGAATTCAATGTTACGCAAGTTCTGATCACATTGTCTGTGAAAAGAAACCGCGCCAGGAAACCTGCTTTTAGCATTAAGAAGCCAGGAATATTTGGCTATGTTGTGGATATGAAGAACCACAGTATATCCAGCTACAGCCTTGCAATATTGGACACTAACATAACTTATACTCCAGATGAGGACTCTCATTTCTGGATACCCCTCAAACCAGGTAATTATCCACTCATTTACGGCCTGTCTTTGCACCAGGAGCCTTAAAAGATTTTCATTATTAGAAAATTATGGAAGTAATATACTTTCACCAATTCAAATCCACCCCCCCCCTTCTACTTGGAGAAGTACATTTATCTAATGAAATGTGACCAGTTATAGAAGAGATGTCATGCAGAGAAAACATATTTTGAAGCTTCAATCTGCAATTTTTAGGGCTCTACATTTTCAGATTGTAATGCAACTTTACCCTCTGTTTTGGCAAAATGAAACAAGCGACTCATAACTTACTTCTCCTGACACCCGAAAGGGGCCGCACATGAAATACGTGACACTGAAAATCAAATATTTTGACTTCCTTTCTTCCTATGGTGACGCACTTGTAAAACAGGTCTGCACCCCCTTAAGAAAATATCTAATTCTCTGCTTGACCCCTCCCTCCTCAAATTGACATTTCAGAATAACTTTTGGATGAAAAATTGTCACCTTTTGTTGATTTTACATCTTACATTTTAAAAGAATTGACATGTAGTGCCAGCCTCAGCATTACGTTATGCAGCTCTGAACTCTCCCTATAATGCATATGCAATGCAGGCTCAGACCCTTCCTTCTGACTCGAAGCATGAAATAATTTACGACCAGCTCCCAAGCGTTTTCTGTCAAAAATTCTGATTTTTCAATGAACTTGACAGCAGACCTTTAAAATTTGCATCTGTGTATTGAGGTCTTTATTCCAAGTGACAGTCATAAACTTACAAATTTAACATAACAATTCCACTAGGAGTTAAAATGAAAAACTTTCTTTTGAATAATCAGACAATTCTGAATTCCACCATCCTCTGTGAAATATCCTTTTCGTTGATGCAAATTTTCCCTGTAAAATATGTTTGTCAATTTTCAACATCCTCTGTCTTGTATGATCAGGTGAATACATCGCATCAGTCAATGCCTCAGGGTATTTCCCCGTTACGAAACTTATCAATGTTGAGCAGAAGAAAGCTTCAAGAGTGATTATACGGATGGTAAGGGATAAGACTATTTTCTCACTACCTCGGCTTGCATTCATCTCTCTAGTCACCGTTGGGTGTGCTTGCTTTGGAATGATTGGACTTCTTATTTATTCTCGCCTCAAGAATCAGCATAAAGGCTACTATAGTGGATTCTCCCTTTTACCGCAAAAATTGCTATTTGAGGATGATGATAAAGATGCAGAGCTGTTCCGAACGCCGATAAAAGACATCGTTACAAGGCCTTTTTATGATGAATCAGACGATGAAGTTAGTGATGAGTCTTTGGAAAAGTATCCTTTTCCCAGTCTTGATGACTCCTCAAATTAAAATCAATCTCATCATCACCTATGTTAAATTTTAATATCCTAAGTGCCAAGTTTTTTGTCTATTATTAGCTAAAAAATCGTTGGCAAATTTTTACAAGCTCTGAAGGCTCTATGAAATCTCATCTCATTAATGATTCCTGTTAGTTATTAAAATATTCTCTGATTTGTCATGCATTTAATGAACCTTATCATTTGACAAGTATTGGAAATTTGGAAGAAGCTGTAAAAATGGGGTCCTCTTTCAGAAACTTCTAAATGTTTCATCAAGCGTCTAAATGCCAACATCGCAGGAGACATAGAGATTGATTTTTGATGGTTATAAATGGTATTTTAACTCGGAGGTACGAAATAGGTCACTTATTATAAATACTAAAAGTGTGAAAAGAAAATAATATTTACCAAGAAATTTGGCGCCTGCTATACCCCATCTTTGAAGAGTTTGTAAGCAAAGTAAAGAGTGTGAACAGTTTAATTCATGTTTCATGGAATTTGATTTTACCCAAGCTTGATCCTAATCTTTGAAGTTTCACGTTTGAAACAATTCAGAAGAAACTGTCAGATGATTTCCTGCAATAAGACCCACAATGGCCCTGCCAATCCAATACTTTGTTTATTACGTAAGCGTTTTTTTTTTCTCATCCATAAAGTTTGTTTTTTTAGACTTGTTAGTTCTTATCATAGATTGATTCTGCAGTATCTGAAAATTTGAAGATCATCAAAGACCCAATTTAATTAAAATGACACTAGTGATAGTCTTTCCAAAAGAGGATAATACATCGTTTCTGGAATGCTCATCAACATCAGGGTAGATTTAAAACACTTTTATTACAAAACGCTCTTTTAAACATCTGATCGAAATATTGAGAGTCTTTGTGGAATTTTAAATTTACTTACTCAAGAAAATTGCTCTGAAATTTCTCTTATAATTTATCCCCAATTTTACTTCAGATAATCTATACCTCCTCAAATAACTGAAAATGAAATTGCAAAAATTTTCGCCACTTTGGCCAACTTACAATGCAAGAACTTGTCAATTTGCATTGTTTCCATGTTTTAAACAGTCTTATTTGATGAAGCAACAACGAAACTTCACTTTGTTCATGCAGGGAATTCTCAGACCTATTTATTTAAACATGCAAGGTTCTAATACCGGATAGATCTTCATCTCGTAGAATTAGTTATCTCTGCTAAGTGTAAGGCAATAAAACTAGTGCACATAGGTATCTCTGTTGCTTAATTTTAACTTTTATTCTTTGTGTTTAACTTTACATCCTAGGTATATTCATGTTTCGTTTTAACTCATTGACATCAGTTTTGAAAGAGAATTTGGAGCTTTTATCACATTCCTGTAACGAAATAATTTTCTTCCTCCTTTTTTTAAAAAAAAAAAGGTGAGGAAAATACTAAGTTTTCAAGTTAATTTTCCGATTTCAAAATCATGCTTGCAAATTCTGCTTGCTATTTGAAAGTTCTCACTTAATTTAAGTTTCATGTACCTGTTTTCATACTAGAATATTTTAATACTTCAATCTCAAAAACTATTTATTGAAAGAATTTATGAATTCACGCTACCTTAACGTAGTTTTAAGTAAGTAATAATTATTTGGGGTGGGAGGGGGATTTTGTTGATTTTGTAAAAGAAGCAAAAAATCCGCTGTTAGCCTCCCAGTTGAGGCTACAATGGCGTCCTTGCAGCTTTTGATGCTGTTCAAAAGTTACCTTTTAACTTTAGCCATATTGCAAGCATGTATGGTGTCCTAAACGGACATCTTATATTTATGTTCACCCCATTTTTCAGTGGTCTCCTCCTCTCGATATAGTTAAATGGTTGTCACTTTTGACAATCAAGAATTTTCCATACGATCCTAAATGAATGTTTAGTCTCATAAAAATTGTGAACTTGTTTTTTACTCTAAATGGAAGAATTCCTGTTGTTCATAGGCAAAATTGTAAATATGATGGATTCTTATAACCAAGGGATGATGCAAGTCAAATACTTCAGGCATTGTTGCATAGCATTTGGTTAAAAGAATACAACATTAGATAAAATAAGGCAATGTGAAATGCAGTTATGCAGATTCACTCAGCAGAAAATCACTGACCAGGAATGCCTTGTCCGTTTCGAATTTTTTATTGCGTTTAACTAAACCAAAAGTCGCATGAAGTGGTTTGGACAAATTATCCATCACTGACGCATTTTTACTGTGCCTTCTTTTTACCTACCCTTTAATTTGTAACATTTTTGAATCCTAACACCCATAAATTTCTTTTATTTTGTAAGTATTATTGTTGCAGACTAATATTTTGTGCTAAAATGGGTGCTAAGTGTATTTTGAACGAACTGAACTTTAGTTTGCGAATCTCAAATCGATGATGAAACTAGAACAAACTTAAGTGTCTCGGTGAGATAAAAGGGTAGAACAGAATCAAAGGAGAAATGAAATTACCCTTTTTCTTTACCACAATACCTCAAGATCTGCCTTTCCATTTGAAACTTGAGGAATAGATCTTCTAAATTTCTGACTTCATTCTTTTGAAAGAAAAACAAAAAATACCTTCCCATGAATACTTTCCAACATATGTTTAAGAGAAAAAAAAGGAAAGCCCTGCAATGTTTTGAGAATTAAAATTTATTGGCTTTCTGCTCTGCAATTGAAAGGCAAGAAATAAGAAGTGTTTTAAATTGAGGGACTTCGGGTTTTTTTAGTTTCATCTTCGATGTGTAATACGTAACAAAGTACTCAAAGCAATTATTTTGGATTACAGTAAAACTGTAAAAAAAAAAGATGTTAGATGTAGATGACTCTTTTTAAGATGCTTTAGAATTTATGTTATATGATAATGATTGCAAGTAAAGCCATTCATCGAATCATTTTCCAGTTTGACCGAATTTGGCAGGACAGAATCATTTTTCTTGAAGTCAAATCAATCTTTTATTTTGGTAAATGAGTACTTTTTTTAGAAGCACGCCTGTTCCTCAATTTTCAAAAATTTATGGAGGATTAGATAGTGGTTTTTTTTTTTTATTATTGATTTTTTCAAATAGGAGAAATCGGTGCTTGTCTTAAATGGAGAATGTCATGTTTAATCATCAGCTGTTCTGAAATAGACGATTGTACTTAATACTACACATAATCAAAACTCAGTGCATTTAAAGTTTAAGACCAGGAAAATTAAATAAGTTTTAATAATACCTTTCAACTTTGATTCATATCAACAGCCAGGTTCTGAAATTAAAGACCTCTTGCCCTCACAGGAAATAATATTAATTTTCGTCTAATTTTGGTTCGAATAACGGTGAAAACAATCTTGCATTTTCAATCATTTCCCTGTTTTACTTCCCTTCGTAAACAGGAGAAGAAAATGCACCTTAATTATTTTTCCCTGCTATCTCAGGAACAACAATTCAGTAGTGTTGCTGTGATGGCAATGATTTTTTTGTAAAATCGAATCGATTTTCTAGGGTTCATTTAAAATTTTAATCAGTTTGTTAAGGCAACTACTGTTTCAAACTAAAACATGATTAAAATCGAGCAATTTTGGTCAAGTGGTGATCCAAATTTTGAAGAAGTTGACAGCAACAACGTCTCTTATGATATTTATCATCATTTCAAACCTCAAGTCCAAGTAATCAATTTTGGAGAAAATTAATGTTTTGGATTAATCTCAAACCGAAGTCGACTTTTGCGTAAAATCAAACGATTTTTTGCAAAATAATCGCCATTATGCCAATTGAGTCACATAATTGACCTACTGTTTTAGTCTTCGATTTGAATACCTCTATTTGTTAAACACGTTAGTATTCTTTTTGAAGCATTTTGAGTACTTTTGTCACTCTGGTCAACATTTTACTAGTAACCGAAAGAGCAGATTAAAGTCCTTCATTTGAAACGAAGCATATTTCTATTGAGAATGTTAATAATACACTTTGCAAAAATGTGATATTTATATTTAATCTTCCTTTCTGTGTGTGATATTTGTTGTCTCTTTTTGTTTTTTCTTTCCTTCTTTAAATGACAAGGTTTTACTATTTTGGTACTCTCATGTGTCAATGGTAATTCTGTAAAAATGTTTGTATAAATTTTCCAAATATTTCAAAATATATATATTTTCCTTTTTAATTTTAACAGATTATTAGTTTTTTGATGATGCATCAGTAGTTTCTTTTTTTAATATTTTTAGTCAGTTAATAAGCTGCAGTCTTAAGCTTTTTCCTAAGAGTCACAATTGAGTGTTCTGACTAATCCATTTTCGTATTGAGATATGTTTTGAAATGTCAACCATGTAGGGATGTAGACTAAGAGTTTAAGCCCTCCTCAACTTTTGAATTCACTGTTGTGTCCTCTTACGTGGATAAGGTCCGCCCAAATAAAAGGGAAAAATCAGATCATATAAAATACATATCGATAGCTAACAAACAATATCGCCTATCTGCAAACCAACAATTTTGCAGAACGAAGAGTAAACTTTGCTATTTCTGTAATTTTAAGGTTTTATTTGCAATTCTTTCATACAGTTCAGCATCACTGAAGTGTTCCCCTTCAGAATTGGAAAAAACTGAAGCCACCAGCTTGCGTATTTTATACTGTTGAATGTGGCAAAATTGCTAACTCTTTTTTGCCAAAATTGTCAGTTAGGCAATATTCTTTGTCAGCCTTTGATATGAGAGACACATATCGATCGCTAGGGGAAAATACCGCCCTCATGCAATCTGACGATTGTGCAGGAATAAGAAAAAACTACGCTATTTGAAGTTAGATTTGCAATTTTTTTGAACATTACAGCGTCATTACAGCGCTCTCATGCGGAATTGGAAAAAATTAAACACGCCAGTTTGCATAATTACTATTGTTGTATGCAGCAACGTCACTAACTCATTTTCACCAAAATTGTCAGTTAAGCGGTTTTGTTTCTTAGTCCTCGATGTATTAAGTGAACAAAAATATTACAAGATGAAAAGATATACACAGAAACTCACTATGCACAAAGTCAAAAAGTTTCTTTGATGAGAGGAACATAAGAAATGAAGGCAAAACTAGCTTTTAAAAATGCATATTTTATTCAGGCTTTGCAATTGAGGATAGTTCCACATGATCCGTCATAATTCACGTTTACTTCTTTCTTTAATCAGCCACTGCGCAGCTGGGCAAGCAGTGGTGCCGCTAGGACTATTGCAACCTGCCTTTCCAGTTTGGAAAAAACAAACTCGCCCTTCTTCCAGGACTCTCCTTCATTGTTAAATTTCATTCTTCATTACTGAGAGAGGTACATTTAACTTCAGGAGGACCAATGACAATTCATTTAATGGAAATCTAACACTGAGTAAACAGCAGCAAAAAAGATAAAGTAAACAGAAAATAATGAAAAATGTAAGACCTAAACTCAAATGCATTACAAGAAAAGTACCTTCAATTTTCAAGATGAAACTTTCAGGAGGCCAAAATATGAAATCAAAAGTCAGATCAACACAAATTGTTGGATTTAAAAGAAATAATAATTTAACTGCGAAAACGTTGGTGCAAACCATTTTAATCAATTTTCAAGATATATTTTGGGAGTTTTCATGCAACGCATCTGATAACATCTCCCAAGAAGAGTGACGCTACATACAGAATAAGCTTACCTCTGACTCCAGCAAACATTAACAAAACAAATATGGCTGTCAATGAGAGAGGGGATCTTACGTGGGTGAAGGCTTTCGCAGGAAAATGGTTTTGACCAAGGTGAGTCAAGATTTAGTATTTGCAAGTTAATAAATAGAACATGACAGTATCGAAGAGGAATAATTTTGCAAGAGGGGCTCTTTTCCTTTTTCTACCAATAAAGGGCGTAAAGTCTTTTGACTCAACACTTTTAAGCCCTGGGTAAGGTAAGGACAAAATCTAGATTACTTCTCTAAAAATTATGTTCTGATGTTTCATAAACAGAGAACTTTGAACTGTCTAAACACTGTTGTCCAAGTTTTGGCCCTGAAATGTTTGTAAAACAATTCTCTGAGCTATTGTTACAATAACTCAAAAGTTTCTCCGCTTTGGGACGTCAAACCACATGGATGGTCACGCAGGTGGATCAATAATATCGAAATTGAGACAATTTTTGGTGCAAACCTTTGCCACTCATATTTTCCCCCTCTCTCTGAGAGTACTGATAATAATGTTAAGTTAAAGAAATGAGGTTTCCTCTTGTTGCAAAATTTCAGCTGTCTAGAAGGGAAAGTTACAAAAATGAGGGGTACACACTTAAATTATAGGAAAAATAATACTATATGGCTCATATTTTGGTCTTAAAATTACGTGGTGATTGAAGATCCAAAAGGTAAACTCTGCATAAAACTATCATTATTCAATGAGAACTAAAATCTAAGGTTTATACATCCTCATGAAAAATAATCACTCACATCATCATTACAATAATAAGCATGTATTTACACAGGGGTGCTGGATACATCCATTGCAAGCAAGAAAACAAGTCAAGCATTTTGTTAAATGCCTTCAGGACCCATAATCAAATTTTGAAGATTAGTATAACGAATACGAAACCTTTCCTTAGTATAACAAAGCTGAAACTCCTAAACAAAGTATCATGTTTGTGGTGTTGAAATCGCTGTTCCTATTTTATTTTTTGAAAAAGAACAAATCAACATTTTTCCTTGAAGTTTTTTCAGAATTTACTTCCAACAGAGTAGAAAAATCACGGAAGTTTTTAGAATTGCCGTTGAGTAGTTCTCCATTTAAAATATAAAATATGATGGGAAGTCTGCAATGTTGCAAACTGAGATGCGTGGTTTGAGATTTTCATCATCTGTGACAAACTACCAATATGCAGTACTTTATGGCATAATGCAATTTTTGAGATGAATGCTCCTTCACGCACTCTGAATCATTCCCTATAGAATAAGATACAAAATTTCACAAATACTTTTTTTCTTATATGACAGAAGTGTTATCTTGTTAAAAGTCAGCATGAGGGCCAGATATCCAATTCAAAAAATTTAGACTATTTGCCAGGCAGTTTGACAAAATGCTTGCTTCATCTCTTTGAATGTAACATATCCATTGATTGCTTGAGCTAACAGCAAAAATTTTGTCTTTCACATGAAGACAAAGGCAGTGATTCAGAAGGAACTTTGGCTAAAGAGTGAGAGTGCTTTTGTCACTTTCATACTTGGTCAAGTTTAGCAATACAAAATTGGTTTCTAGGAAGAAAAAATATTTTAAAAAACAGAGAGAACTTCAGTCTTTTCACAGAACCTATATTTTGCTTCATTAAAAGACTGACCGATTCCACCAGAATGATGAATGAAAAGTTTCCATTTCAATGCTGATGAGGTTTACTGCATGAAAAGTGCCTTCATTTAAACAGCAAAAGTACTGATTCAAGAGAGTAAATTAGAATCTTCTCCAAATTAATTGATGATGGAAAAAGGACGAAGAAAATGCAGAAATACATTTAATTTATACCACAAGCTTTTTCATCATTAACACTTCTCAAGGCTTGAACCCAAAAAACAAATAGTGTATTCCCTTCGGAAAATACACTAACAAAAACAGATAATTGAAGAAAATGCACTGTTACAGATCGTCATACCTGCTGTTTGATCATACATTTAATAGCTTACACACAAAATAACTAAGAAAATTATGTATATTTAACAGTCCGATTATCAAATAACAAGAAGATGCAGGAGTTAAGAGGTGGCCCTAGACGGTTAGGATCATTTATCACAAGAGTTACCCAAACTTGGAAGAAGGGCAAGTTTTTAGAGAAAATTCCTAACAATAGTGAAGTCAAAGAAGAATAATAAAATGAATATTTCGCCAGAATCGGGCATTTCAGTGGAAAGTTTTAAAAATTTGTGACAAAATTCTTGAGAACTGGGTATAAAAGCACTTTCACTTCCAACTAAGGAGTTTTCAGGAGAATTCATTTGGTCTGAAAAGACCCTGTCAAAGAGTAATACATGTTTCATGGAGGAATTTAGCATGACCTACGTTGGTTATTTTTTTTGTATGATGTTCTTCTTGATTCCTGAATACAAAGAACTTTAATAAATGAACTTTCCTAGGGCCAATTTTAAGAAAAAATAGTCATCCCTGACTTTCTTAAAAATGATACATGGAAAGCTCCTGTTTTGAAGTTAATTGTTCACTGGAGGTCAAGACGAACACCATATAAAAAATGAAGAAATTCATTAAGCAGCACACATGTTGGTAAAACGCACATTGTCCATTGTTCCAAATATTTCTATTAGCAATTCTTCATTTTATAATAAGAGGTGCATAATACACTAAAAAATTAACTAAGGTATTAAAAAATTAACTTCCCTATTCAGAACCATGCACTGACAAATTCATGCAAAAATCACAGCTTTAACCTTCTAGCGAATTTAATATTTTCCATTTTTTCATGTGGTAGGAAAAAAATAGGTTTCAACATTAAGTATGATTCACAGCCGAAAGAGGTTGTAAATTGCTGGTTGAGATTTCAGTGTGGACTCAACTTGAACAATTGGATTGAAATGCATCCTAACACTGCTTGGTCTCCTGTACCCTCAAAAAATCATTTGATTAATAAAATTCATAAACTTTACAAAATGTACAAAATATTGGTAACATTCATTATACTACAGTTTGAAAATAAAACATGCCTTTGTAGAGACAATCTGGAACGAACAAAGAGTGTAAAAATACGACTCTAGTGTTTGGCATGACAGTGAATGAAAAGCTGCCAACACAACGTGATTACCTATTTTAAAGAAATATTTAACATTAAGCTTGTAAAAAAGTTCAACTCTCTGGTGTTTCTCACATATAATTGCTGTGAGTAATTCATTTCCTTACTTTATCAGTCATTAAATTTACACTAACACACCATTAACTACACTTTTCGAAAGATGTAATGACAGACTATGGTTGCAGGGGTGGTCTGGCCAGGGGTACTGGGATGCTACAGCACCCGAAAAATGTTGACAAAATGGATTCAGGGGCCCTGAGACGTGAAAAACCCACATAAAGGAAGATTTTAGGTTAGTTAGGGGGGCTCTCATCCGAGAGGAGGGGCCCCGAAAACGTATCAGCACCCCAAGAATTTTAAAGCCAGACCGACCCTGGGTGGTTGCTACCAACAAACAGCATCGCTACATTTACACAGTCACTAACAATATTCAATACTTTCAAGTGTCATCACACACTCTCACTTGTTTTTTACACTTTTCTATTTTTTTAAAAAAAAAAAAATTCAAAAATTTTAAACAAGCTCTAGAGCAATTTCTTTCCGAATGCATATGCAACTTTTCTGTCTTTAAAAAATGACAAGACGGAAAACTTGACTAGAGAATGTGAGGGGTTTGTTATGAAAATTCATACATGTTGTGGCCAAACTATTCACTAGTAGCCTTTCACAAAGTATGATTGGTAGATTAAACCTAAACAGGAAGATGTAAAGAGCGCGAAAATACTCCACCATGTGGCGAATCCGAACAATCCTCGGTGCACTTCTGCTGTTAGAACCTGAAACATTTCAAGCAAAGGTAAGTTTAACAGTTCAGATCAGATTCTAGTACCTATTTTGATGGACAAGTTGCACCTAGCGGGTACTGTCAACTGAGAAAACTTTACAATAGTGAAAACAGAAATATCTTACTAAGAACATCAAAAAGTCGAAAATTTACTCTCAGCAAACGATTTTCATTGATCATACCACTTGTTCATGAATTCCTTGTGGCTAGGGACACTTTTTTCTTAGTTACCGACAATCATGTCTGCCAAAAGAGACATGCCAGAAAACCAAGCCTAAAAAAGCAAATGATCTTGCAGATGGTAATCAGTCTCTCTGACAAATGAGCTCAATCGTTTGAAGAAACAGTTATTCAGAGTAAAGGCAAGACATGAGCTTTAAATTAATCGAGCTTGAGAAAGGCTTGCAGACTTGTACCAGGAACAGCCTGCAAGATTTTTTATACATTTGTTTTAGGTTTTTTACATCTTTCACGCAGAGGGCTCATTTCTGGCGAAAAAAAATGATTCAAGAAAGGAATTGAAAAAATATATTACTAGTTCCAGTGAAGATTTTGGATCGGTGAAAATTATGGATTTTAGAAAACTGACTCACATCTTTGAGAGAATTTAATGCAAGAGAAAACTGGTGGGCTGATTGGAGGATTGAGTCTCCATCTTCTGATTGAGAAGCTGTAGGTGACACTGGAGGAGTCAAATGTTCGGTGGCGTTCAGAGAATGGGTGCCTAACCATGAATAATCACCCAAAGTTTTATACATAAATGCAAAATAAAGGCACATCAAAAGAGGTATAAGGTACTGCAGAGCAACAACCACCAAATAGTAAAAAACAGCTGCTATCTGAAAGAGAAAAAGGTTGAAAATGTAATATTCACTCAAGTTGAAGATACTACAATGATAAATTTAGACGAGCAAAACGGCCAAAGTCCAGAAACTCATGCGCCCTGGTTTTCATTGTTAAAACTATCTAGCATGGCTCATGGGCATTCAGACGTCCACCTCTTTCCCATGATGAACGTAATAATTAATTGAATATATTTGCTTATAAAAAAGGTGAAAATTCAAATATCCATGAGCCATGCTGAACATTATTGACAACAGAAGGCACAGTTTATGAGTTTTTGGACTTCCACAATTTCTTAAGCTTTTCCAAGCTTTGAAATACTTGCTAAGTTTTACATAGAAAAGGAATGTAATTAGGCAATTCTTAGATCATGTAAAAGCTACATCTCCTATTCTGGTCTTTCACAAAAGAATGCATTAAAATGTTTGTATTTGAACAATGCCATAGAAATAAATTAGAGAAAATCGGAATACAGCAGGGGAAAACTAGTTTTTCCTACTTAAAAGAGGGATATATGTAAAATTGAGTGATTAACCAAGTCTCAAAGGTGCTGATATTCTACTTTTGACACTGAAGCAGATTTTACGGTCTATCTAACAGGCCTGCTTTTTTTCATTCTACAGCTTCTAACCTTTCTGGCTCCATAAAATTGACTTCAAAAAATATCCAAAACTTTCCTTGGATTTTTCTAATCTTTAGATCTCGCTTTTAAAATTGAAAAATGATTTTGAGGGTAAAAGTCAGAATTACTGAAAAATCTTGGAGCATCATCACCTCACCTTCTTCTGAAACTCAACATTTGTCATTTTTCCAACCTCTTTTTTCTGATCCTCAACTTTTCGATGTGCTAAGTTTAAGTAGGCTTGTAGAAAAAGAGGCATGATCATGATTCTGTGAAAGATTACGCCCACAACCACTATTAGTCGAATGCTCTCAAATGATTCCAAGCGGATCCTGAAAAAGAAACGGCAGTTAAAAAAATTAGATAAAATTGTTGACATTAATGGGAAATATAATTATTGTTAGGGTTAAAAAGGAGGTTGTTTGACTTGACCAAAGCTGGCGTCTGCTACTTTTGATTTCCTAAGACTGGAGACACTATGCATTAAAGGGAGTCATAAATCCCAATCTTCGTCATTTAAAATGTACTGATGCTAAGGTACACTTTTCTCATGTTTTACTGGACGGATTTTCAAAAGAATATTTGATTTGATTTCTTGGAATTTTTCAAAGCTGTAATCAAGATCTTCAAAAATTCTAAAAATTGAAATTATCAAAAACTTTTTTTTAAAAAAATGAAAAAATGAGGCCAATAATTTCAAAGAATATTTAAAGTAAAAAATTTAATTCTTACAATGGTTCAGTCATGCCAGAGAAAACTCTTTTGCTCAGGTAATCCGATGAAAGCGGCTTGACCCAAAACAGTAACAGGAGTCCTGGTAAGACAAAGCTGAGGTTGAGCAATAACTGGATCAAATGTCGATCATCGTAAAATCTCAGTGCATCACAATGCATCTGTGCTGCTCTCAGACCAGGAAAAACAAAAAATGCACCAATAAGGGCGCACCACACTGCTATTACAAATTTCAGGATGATTTTTGAAGCTGGACCGTCAGAAGGAAGACCTATTAGAAAATTCAAAGTCTAATTAATGATACTGACATATACTAACAGATTTTGACAACATGACACCTTTAAAAGTTTCCATGAATTAACCTAAAGAAAATAAACCTAAGAAAATACATTTTTAAGCAGCATGTTGCTTGGTTATTTTATGAAAATATAAAACATGAGAAAAATATTGAGTAACATCTGATGTAGCTCGGTTGATTTTGGTTGGTGCTAACTAAATGTGTTTGTGTACCTTTCAAGCAACCCTAATAACCAATTGAGTTAGAAGTGCACCTGTGGGCCAAACCGCAACTTTCTACGTTCAATATTAACCAAGATATCTCCCATTGAAAAGTCGGGTTTTTGACGTCATCCACCGCGGTAGTGACATCCTTGGTTCCTTCCACCTTGTTTTCATCCAAGTTTCATGTTGAGTAACCTGACGTCGCTGACCAATGAAAGCAAGGTGGAAAAAACCACTGGTGTCACTACCGCAGTGGATGATATAAAAAATCCGACTTTTCAAAGGGTTTTTCTTGGTTAATATTGAACGTATAAAGTTGTGGTTTGGACAGATCTTAATATCTTTAGATAATCTACAAGAATCAAGCATCAAAACACGATTCTGTGACCAGCATAACTGACCCATTCATACAATTTTACATTCGAATTTTGCTAATTTTCCTGACACCTCCTGTGTCTTCCTGAATGTTTTGAATTCCCTGATTTAGGGTTTTTTGCCACCCTGAGTACCCAAAATGCTTCGCAGAGAGGGTCTTAAGATGTGATTTTCACCAATATTTAAGCTTTCCTGTCAAAAATTTCCATTGCTTATCAATGCTTTCCTTCAAAGTAGATTACTTGATTAAATTTTGCAAAAGCATTAAATTAAAATACATAAGTACATAAATACATGTTATTAAGCTCTACCTCATATGTCATATGAAAATTTTTGAGCAGTAAAACACTAAAACTAATTGAACAAAGCATTGCCTTGATTTTCCAAGAAGACCGATGCTGAGGAGTTGAAGCTTGAATAAGCTGTTTCAAGGCCAGAATCTAATTTTGACTCGTCAATGATCAAAATCATCATGCTGATTAAGAGAAATGCGAAGGCAGAAACAATTACAGTTGAGCGTTCTCCTATTGATTCAGACCCGCGGAAATATTCAGTCGTTATTGAGAAAAGCGTTTTTCTGGATTTAGGTTAAGGCAAATATCAATTGATGAGTTAAAGACACATCCAAGAGAGCTGTGAAAGTCAAAGGATAAGGTACATAAATTGAGCAAATTTGGTTTATGTTACATTTTGTTATTTTTTTTGGACAATAATCATGAAAAAATTCTGGCAAAGGTAAGCTTTAAAATTTGAACCTTTAGTGTGTCTGTTGGAGGGGAATGGGGCAAAAAAGTAAATTTATTAGCTTAATTATACAAGTTTTTGGGGGGAAATGTTGCAACACTGCCAGAATGGTGATGCATTAGAGAATTGTTTTCTCCACCAAAGAGGAAACATCAACATTACATGCTTTCGACTTTGGTTTTTCAGACATAGCGGCAAGGTCATGTCTTCAAACAAATGTATAAAAAAGCTAAAAAATTCACACCTCAGTCTCTACTTTCTCAAAATAGGCTTATATTAAGTATTAGCTCCTCCAAATAATGGAAAATTATAACAAAGGCTAGAGTTTCCTTGACTACAAACAGTTGCCGTTTGACGCAGTAGTCGTTTAGACAGAGATGACCTTAATGCCATTGTCTGCAAAAAATTTAGTGTCAAATTTCAGTATGCCAAGCAAAATCACAGTTGTTTTCCTGAATTTTCGTAACTAGTGTTGGACCAAACAGCATATCTCTCTGAGAGAAAATTTTGCTCCTTGACCTTTTTCCCTCCATCATACAGATTTCAGTTTGCCTGACAAGTTCATCATGTTCTTTTTTATTCTAAAATTTGATTACCATTTTTCGTTTGTTTTTTGTTCATTCATTACTCTACCAAAATGTCATTTGCCCTTCTCAAAAAAAAAAAAATCTACATACAGAATCACTTTCCTGACAGAAGAAAAGGAAATCTAGGGACATATATTCTCAGTTGGTAAAAAAGGATACAGCGCAAAACTGTGGAACAGGAGACACCATAGAATGCTCAGATTGACTTCCCCTTGCAGTGGAAAAAAATAGGTGTAGATCTGAAAAATAGAAAGAGGGGACTAAGTAAGTAATGGAGAATCCTAAACACATTAAAATAACAATGACAACTAATTGTTTGCCTCTTAGAAAGTTAGTATATGTTAGCTGTTGAAACCATATGATAGAAATTCAATGATATTCCAGTTGTTCCACACGTGCTATTTTCAACAATGTTGTTCTATAGGAAGGTAAGTTAAAGATTGGCCCTGGCAAAAGAACGGACCAACAAGAATCGAAAACTGCGGAATTTAAACCCTGTGCTTCCCACCAAGGCTGAAAAAAAACAAACGCAACTTTGGGTAGTTTGCATCAGAAGAGCACACCTTCTTTTCACTTACCTTGGTCCTATAGCAGATTTCAAATACTATGCACTGGGTCTGTTGCATGCAAAAGATAAAGCCAAGTAAATAGACTTGTTATGAGTAAAATCGAAAATCACAATAGGTACATCAAAAAGTCTGAAACCCACCCTCTGCACACAATCTGTGTATTTGGTAATGCGCTTTTTCAAGTTTCCTGCGTCCAAGGGCAGTAATCTCAGTTGCTATCAACCAAGTCTGCACAGACAGAGGATTAAGAAAACCTGACCTAAATAGACAAACAATTTTGCAAACTTTTCCTAGAGTATGATTTCAATTATTTTTAAGCGTTTGTTTCCTTCTTCTGTTTTGTTTTGCAAGGAAAGTTTTTAACAGTTTGCAGGATTGGTTCTTTATTTAGGTTGGGTTTTCCTGAGTCTGTCTTTGGACAAACCCGACTGCTGGCTTGTACGGCAAACTAGGTACTTGTGTATACTGTAAATTTGAAAAAGCGTAATACAAACTATGCAAATTGTACTCTATGGAGAAGATATTAGACTTTTTTTATGTACACAGCAGAATTTTTGTGCAATTCCACATGTAAAATGTCTATTAGCTTGGCTGTATCTCAAACAAATTGATATTCAAATAGCTATAATATGGCTGATTTGAGAGTAAAATTCTGCTTAAAATACCAGTTCTTTGAACTTTTTTCAGGGTATTACGTATGAACTACTTTCAATATTTGTTGTTAATCAAGATGAAGAAAAAAGTTACTGACTAGCAGCATGTTGAAAAATGTAAAATGTATTGATGAAATACCTCGGTAATGATATAGACAACAGCAGTGTAAAGAGCAAAATCCACAAGCCACTGATATTCGGTGTAGTACCGCAGATGTACAACATCTTGAGGAGTGACTTTGGAAAATTCAAGCTAAAACAAACAATATTCAAATTGATTGAGACATGAAAGTAATTTATGGTAAATGTACAAAGATAAAATCTGGTCGATGGCAAGTTTGCATGCACATTTTTCATTGCTTCATCTGAAAGTACTTAAAGAGCTGATTTCATTTTTCATAATTTTTTTCTGATAGAGGAAACAGTATAAAAATAGATTTAAAAGTGAGAAAATGCACCGCCTAGTGATATCATCTGGCAGCATTCTCCATTTAAACACACATATTTTAGCAGATTAGATCATTTTGTCATATCTTCTCCAATAATTGTTCAATTCATGAACCAAGGGTATCCTTGTGTTCAGTTCACTCAGTAGTTTCCACTTATACACGAAATTCATCAAATTTCAGACACTTGCAAATTCTCTATTTTATATATTTAAGAATACATCGCTCAGAGCCTCTCCTGTTCAGGGTTTTTTTGATGACTTTCAGTTAGAAATGGTCTTTTATCTGACACTAGCACTTTCTTTAAAAAAAAAAAAAAAAAAAAAAATCTTCATTGGACTGTTTTTCTCACATCGTTTCATATAACAATAGCAAAAATTACAGGTTTCTAAAACTGCAAAGATGTCCTCTGTGGCACATAAAAAGTTACCTACGTACTTGAATGTCAATGTTTCGTGGTATTTTAAAGGTGTCTAGAACAATTTTTCCATTTTCTCCATCTTTCCCTTTCTTCGTTTTTGGTTTGTCTTTGGGTATGCCTGCAGCCGCTCTAAGTTCATCATTGGTGGGATACAGAAACCTAACCAAACTGAAACAATGAAAGTACAAAACCCAGTCTTCATTAGTCAGTATCCTTGATAAAAATGTACCTGTCCATGTGAAGAGGGACCTCGGTGCTGAAAAACTCAAAAATGAGTTAGTAGCACCTGTGCCTCAAGGATTGTTAAACCAAAATTTGGCCATAATACTACAAAAAATTATGCAGTGAATGGCAATTACAGTAGTTAGACATTGCTGTCTAAAAAAACATAGTTTTGAGACCAAGTTACAAACAGTTTTTATCTGCCATTTTCCAGGCTCGAAAATTTTGCATTGAAGTGCATATCACTGTCATCAATCATGCGAAGAATGTTTCTGTCTCCTCAACGCTGAGCTGATGGATAGGAGTGTAGTTACCGTCCAGTTGATTGATAAGACAAAGAATAAAAACTTAAATGATGCACCTTGCTCCTTGAAAAAGAAGCACAGGCCTCCTAAAAAGAGGAGGAAAATGCCTTAGAATAGATTATTACCATAAATCCAGCACAAAACACTGGAATTTCAAAATGTATCATTTCCATCATGTAAAGATGATAGGATTTGTATTGTTCTCAAAAATTTTGTCCATGCTATTTTGGATATATTTTGAGAATGATAAAATTAGTCAGAAGAATTTATACAATTTTATTGCTCAGTCAAAAAAATTGTACCCTCGATCACAGGGTTGCAAATCTCTGCTATTATGCTACTTTTTCAAAAGAAAAAAAAACCAACAGTTTTTAATTTTGTTATAGTGTTCTGTGAATTTTTTTTAATACCAAGTTAAAAATATTTACATCAAATTTCAAGGAAATAGTTTGGTTTTTTTTTTTTTTTATTTTTTTTTAAGGAAAATCTAACCAGTTAAGCAAGTAAGATTAGGAAAAAGTGCAGTTTTTGCCATTTTACGAAATACTTGTTAAAAGTTTCAAAATTATGAGGAGGGTTATGGTTGAGAGAAAGTTCGAACTCACTTTTGGATGCTTCAAAATTGGATTTTAGAGGCAAATTTTTCACAGAATATATTTTGAGACTAGTTTTATTTGAAATCATTAATACATCAATTTTTTCAAAAACTGAACTTATCCCGTTTATCTTTCCCGTCCTTCACTTGCAATGTTTAAAACTCCCTGATTAACTATATTTTATTTTCCTCAAGTATGCTGATCAATTTTTCTTTTTTCAAATTTTGTTTCATTTTTAGTACGAAAAAAGAAAACTTACGCACAGAAAATATCAGTAAAATGTAAAAGGTAGTTTGCATTTGAAAAAGTGGCAAACATGAGCGGAGAGGACTCATATTGTTGCATTCTAAGGTACTTTTTTTTTGGTTTTAGCTGTGGTTATATTTTTTTGAATAATGAAAATGAACTACCATAAGAATACTCACTTGTTAGAGCAGAGCAACCATCTAGCAAAAGAAAAATGTGGTGCCAGCTTTTGAATGACGCTCACCATCACCAGAGTGATGACAATCTGTGCTCCCAGTATTGCCTGTTTGCAGAAAAAGAGCTGATAAATTCACAAGATTCAATTACAACTTGAATGGTGACCTAAGAACTAAAATGGATGTTGAACATAAGACAAAAACTGGGTGCTACTTACATACTGGGGGGAAGAACAAATCAGAGGTCAGTACAGATTGCAATACATTCCTCTGTTGGTAAGTTTGTCCCTAGTGGTGATAGTTACTAATAGACCGTCTTCTTAATACAAGTACACACCTTTAAAGTATGACAGAAGAGAGGTATACAGTCTTCATTTAAAAATTTAAAGGTAATATAAGTACAAAATGTGGCAGGTCTTTTGTATCAGTCTAGAACTAGATGGACCTGTTTGATTGTAAGCCTTGAGAGAAATTTGTACAGAAGAAAGTTTATTGTATGACATTGAGCAATTTTTATGACATTATGCTTCCATTACGACAATTATACTTCCTAGCCATCTACATCCTGGCGTGTGTGCATACTGGCCCTGATTCTGCTTTGATTTAAAAAATAAATAAAGAGTAAAATCTTCCCCTTGCATATTCCTCCCTGATAATCGGTGTGATGTGCTTTTGAGAACAACTGGGTATTATCTTTCCAAAAGATAAATTTTTACTCTCGTAAGATCTTAATGTGGAAATATAACCTCCTTCCATAATATGACAGATTATCAAGGTTTCAGGATTTGCAGAAAAATCCATAGAGGTACTTAAATCTTTACGAACTGAGAGTGACAAATTGTCTGTTACTAATGTGCTTCTACCTTCGAGGAACCATCGGTGAAGACAGTTGCTGATAACATCATTGATACTCATTGACATCTACACTGTAAGAGTAACATCTTACTTTTCCAATCTTAATGTGATACATTTTTGGCATAATCCCGGGAAAAATCTAAACAAAAGTAGGTTAATTATTAATAGAACTGACCATGATTGGGGTAGAGCTCCGGACCTCTGAGGCACTCTCTCAACTAAGCACCAAGATGATCGACTGCGTTAGGAGTCACTTAACGTGTATCACGGAGGAAAGCATAGAATTCCAGAGCTACAATATTAATAATTTAGCTCATTGTCAAAGTTTAGATCTGGAAACTTATTCCACAACTAATTGCACTGTCTTAGCGGATGGAGGAGGATGATTCGTGAAATATTCTAGGTTAGAATTTTTGTTTACGTTTTTTGCTGTAGAGGATATAGCGCGGGAAAATCTGAATCGTACAAACATAGTTGAATCGATATAAAATAAACGGCGCGTATAACTGAGAGCGCTCATACAAAAAAGGACTCTGAGGTTTAACTTTTTCCAAAAACGCCGAGTTTAGTGGGAGCCAAAACACATCAAGTTGAAACTGAAAAAAAGGAAAAAACTAAGAACTCAAGAATCTGAAAAAAGTCTCATTCTTCTTACAGCTTAAAAATAGCCAGTTAATTAGTTGACATCAATCCGCCACCTTCAATGGTTCTCATGAAAATTGGACATCATTAATTAATTCACCATTAATTTTGGAATTTTTTGGTTCTCGAGTTGATGTGTTTCCATTCTCTCATCACAGAATCATTTGAGAGAAGGTTGTAACAGCCCTGTTGGTCCTGAGATATCGTCACCTTCCAGCCAAAGTATCACAAGCGCCACGCGACGTTTAAAAATTTCCAGTGCCATTTTATTTTTTTACATACAAATTGTTGGTTGAATTTGTTTGAAAATTTTACTGAATTTTATCGGCAGCACAAATAAAATTCAGTGAAATTTTTGGACAGCTCCGTTGAAGAATTTCTCGGTAAAAAAATAAAAGGGCACCAGAAATTTTGAAACGTCGCATGGCGCTTGTGATATTTTAGCCGGAAGGTGACGATATGAGGGGACGCCTCTCGACACAGTTATTAATTAATTACGTTCCACTCGAGGCTGCACAAGAGAAAAGGTAAATTGGTACCAAGTTCTGGCTAAAACCGGGAAGGTATAAAATAGCTCTGTATTCTGCGGAATAGAAGTAATAGATGGTAAAAGAAAATAAACAAAATAATGAGCTAACAAGTTGCCATCATTCTGGGTGAAACGTCTACCTAAAGTGATGACATTGTCAGAGTCAGTATAGTCTCGATTATCTGCACTTCGATTATGCACGATTCGCATTATCCACGGTTTCTCATTCGGCGGTCCCCCAGCAGAACTACTGCTCCTAGATCGCATGTGAAAAATCATAGTCCAAAGACGTTCCAATTGTACAGTGCAAATTTCGGTGAAACATTTTCTCCAGAAATGGTGTTTATTCAAATACTTGATTTCTGTTAAGGGTAAAGTCAATTCATTTTTAACTGATTATTACTTATCCGTCTGATATTTGTCAAGTTTTTTCATAGCCTTTAAAACTATAGCCTTTCAGATCACTTTTCTAGGCTACGCAGCAATTGGTTCCGGATTATCCGAGATTTTTGATTATTTGAGGTAGCTTCGGTCCGGCAGGTAATCAAGATTCTACTGTGATAACAAAAGCATTAAAAAAAAATCACAAAAAAAAGTAGAGAATTAAATAAAAAAGGTATGTCTGTGAAGAAATATCTTGAGCAAAGATTAGGAGGGGGGGGGAGGCTGCACAATACACTAGGGAGAAAATCAAATGAAAACATTATTTCTTGTTAATAACCATCAATAAATTTATTAGAGCCATTCAAACTAATTGTAAATATCACAATGGTAAAAAACAGATAAACAAAAAAAGACCCTGCTCTCGAGCACAAAGAAAATTGATGAGCTCTAAAGCTAGTGAATACTTCGGTCAAAAATTAGGTTTGTGTTTAGAAAAAACAAGTTCCGTAAGTGGGAAGAGCAAATAAATAAAAGAGAAAATACTTATGATGGAAGTATAAAAGTAAGTAGGTGGCATGCATATGATCACTTCATTTGCTGCGTCACTGAGAACAATGGCTAAGGTCAGAAAAGGCAAAGCGTTTGGCAAAATTGCGATAAATAGTCTGCTGATTTGATATTGAGTGAAAATTAAAGAAAATAAATTAATATACCGAGGATAATGATTTTTTTGAAAAAGACAAATATTGCATGGATAGAATTTGAAATTAATGAAAGTAACTTTGAAAAACATAACAACTTTAACAACTTGAACTTAATTGCAATAAATAATAAAAATTAAATAGGTAATAAAAATACAAGAGACATGACAAAATATATATATTATATCTTATAAACTTGAAAAATACAACTCTTCACCGGTATTATAATAAAAATAAACAATACTGCTCTTTTCCCTCCGTAATATTACCTATTGATAATCCTACCATTTTTCAGGTGAGCTTGAAAGAGTACATCAGACCCTTAAACCTACATTCATTTATAAAACTATAAAACTTGAAAAATTAAAAAAAAAAACAAAATTGGCACAACTTATTTCTGTACAACCTTTGAGGATCACTTGTTTCACAAATTTAAGAAAAAGGGGGGGGAGGAGGACAAATGGTAAACAATGATAGAGAGCAGACAAACATACTGATGGTGAAACTACGCGCTAAAACATGTTTTGCACAGACAGCAATGAAAAATGTTTCAAAATTTCTCTCCTACTTGATGTTTTGAAAAAAAAATCGGCATTTTCCAATTTTAACCAAGAACTCCTTAATATGCAGGAAAATAAATCAAGAAACTTTTTGAGAAATGAGTGCATGGTCTCCCATTTCTGAAAGGAGAGTTGCAATGCTGCAAACTTGAAAACGTGTCTTTTTAGCGTCACACAATCGATAGGATGAAAATCTTGGTTGCATCTTTTCGAGGAAGATGAGATGTTTCATAGACAAAAAAAGAAAATTTTTAAGACCCTTGTCTTAATCTGATATCAATGATGAGATTCTACAAAGCTAAGATTTTACAATTTGTTGAAACCTGTTTGGGTGAGGTCTAAAAACTCTTCAGGAATCTTCTATAAAAAAGGAGCTTTCATACCTTCCAAGTCTTTCCTTTCTTTACAATACATTTTCCAAAATGGGCAGCTGTTCACTTAGCTTCTACCAAAATCTAATCTTGTAAAACATTATTGGCGCAAAATTTCCACAGAAATAAAGCTAGTAAGTGCTTCAGGTCACTCAGGTTTTTTCTTTTTAAACTTATTTTACTTAATGAAGTACTGGCAAGAATTTTTTGCAGGGTTACAGTGTAGTTTTTCTTAGGTAGTATCTTGTGAAAAAACCAGACAGTTTATTAAAAATTTAAAAAATCGTTCCTGAGGGGAGAAAAAGCTAATCAAAATCCGACAGTCGATTTGACGTAGCAAGGCCATACCTGAAGCTGAGTTAAGCCAATCAGTAAATGCCTTTCCCTCGTCTGGCTACATGGTCAGAGTCCGTCAAAAATATAGTTTCATGCGGATTCAATTTTTGGCATTCTCCAAACAGGGTCCTTTTGCCACTTAAAGTTAAAAAAAAACTGGAGAAGCTTTGTTCACTCTAAACTTTTGGAAGATTAATTTTAAACCAAAATGGGTGCTACTAACCTGTTCCAACTTAGACGATATTACATGCATGAATATTGCCTTACAAAATAATTAAAAGGAATTCAAATGTACTGATTGAAAAATAAAAAAAAGTGAAAAGCACCATGTCTGTTTGTAAAACTATTTTACAAAACAATATCAGAGTGAGCAATGATTTTTTTCGTTTTTTTTTCAGCAGTTTTTGACTTCTAATCTTGCCTCATTAAGGACTGTCCTTGCTAAGCATGAACCCCTCAATACAGTCTTATATGTAGATTTTCTATGAGAGTTTCTGAGACTCTTCTTCCCATCTAGCTACTTTTTAATTAAAAATTTGACAGGTTTTTTTTTTTTAAATACCATCACAGCTCTCCCTACAATTATGGATTGAGCTAAATATTAGAATTTATTTCGATCAACAAATTGTAAAAAAATATAATAGAAAAGGTCCATGTTCATGCTACTAGACAATATAAAAGTATTCAAAAATATTTCTAAATAGTTACTTCGCATGATCATTCATTAGAATAAGTAGTTAAGTTCAATTTTGATCAATAGATTTAAGTAGAGCGGTCAACAAGGAACACCGATTTAATAGTAAACGAGAAACGCCAATTTAATAACTCCTTCTGGTTTAAAAAAGTCAATTTGTCTTGTGCTATTGACCCCTTAGAGAAAATCCTTAAGTATTGGTAATGTTCATTACAGCTAAGTAATTATAAGAAATCAAAAGTTTTGTGGACATTTTCTGATTACTTGAAGAGTTTCCAATACTTTCAGTGGCTTTCATATGGTAAAAAATGTATGCTAATAATTAATAAAGACATATAAAACGGGCACATATATGACATATGTGAAAGGCACTTGATAATACTTAAATATACTTTGCATCAAATAGCAGATCAGAACCTGAAGAAAAGCATACTTCTACAATAAAAGAGACAATATTTTTTACATAGAAAATGTGCTTTGTTCATGTAAATAGCCAGAGCCAATTGAACAAAAGGCAGAGTAAGATAGAAGAATAACAAAAATGAGGAACATTAGCATCACCTCACATCAATTACAATGTCATGGTTCCAAAACTGTGTTCTTGGTACAAAATTATGTGGCAAGGAAAGATCTAAAAATTTCAATTAAGTTTTTCAGACCATTCAAATAATTCAAGTCTAAAACGTTGGTATCCTCTACAACATGAGCAAAATCTATCATAACTGCTTTTACCATTGAGTCATCAACCGTGGATTTTGAAGTTAATCCATCAGCATCATAGACGAGCAAAATAGAGCTTGAATAGAAGGCATAGTTCTTTTGGGTTTCGAACCATCGTTTAATGCGCTCCAGCTTCTTCAGAAAAGTAAGAACCAAATTTTCATTCAGACCGTTGTCAGCATTCAGAAATGTTTTTAGCGCTGGGGGAAAAAAATATATAACACTAAAAAGACACAAACAGAGAGAAAAACCCAATTTTATTGAGGCAAGAGCTCCATTTCAGTTTTTTCAATGATCCAATGATTACAAACTGATTGCTGTTTGATACAGTGTGTTGTCTAGAAAGATTGTTAAAGATTCTGCCAACATGCATGTAATTTCAGTATAGTACTTAAATTCTCATTCTGATGAGTTTTTCCTCTCTATAATGAGGATATCAGTTTGAAACTGATATTAAACGCACATTGGCAAAATCACCATTCAAAACCATTCTTTTCATTATGCTAATGATTGAGATTCAGATTTAAAGTGCAAGACTCAGACACTGCAGATATTACCTTTCAAACAACTTTTGAGCCCCAATTATGTTACCAAGAGAGCATGGCCATATAATTAGGTGAAACCTATCACCTTTCTCACTTTTTGCTTTTAATGGAAAAACCTCGACACACAATTAATACACACTCTTCTTCAGTTTTGGATGGAGTTAAGAAACTAGGGTGACTCATTTTTATCTAAATAGGTCAATGCCGTTGTATAATTTCTGCAGCAGGATGCTCAGAAATGCACACATTTTTAGCACAGATTGTGAAATTAGGAGTGATTTACCTGTCCTTGCAGGAGCTATTATCATATTATTAATGTATCGTAATTTTAACAGGTCTTTTTATGATCCTTTGAGAGGAGGTGACCCTATCTTGTTGTAGCATACTGCACAATTTTTCTTTTCTTTTTTTAACACTTTATTGGCACTATGAACACTTTTTTCTAATAATTTATGTATATATTTATTATTCTACCTCTTTTTCTCTATTGCTAATAATTGTTGAATTTCTTCTTTACATCTATAAATTTAATATATTTAAGTGCTGTTTATGAGTACAGCACTGAAATATGATTAACTACATTCTTTTCTTAATACATATTATTTCTTCATTGTGAGTATGATTGGTTTTTGAAAATGTTTTAATTTGTACAGAAAAAAGTGATCCTATCTTGTACCAGCACTTATTCTAGTTTTTGGGTTATCCAAATGATTTCAGACTTTCTAGATGTGTTCATCCTGATTATATAGTCACTTTCAAATAGTGGAGTGTGCTGAAATCTTATTTCTCACTCACACGTTACCTGGATGCCTATTGAGCTCACAAGCGACACAAAAGCAGGTGAGGCAAGCTGCAGCTTGCTTGTTCTGCTTTCGTTGCACCTGTAGATTCAAAGGGCAGCCAAATGATATACAAAAGAGACACAAGGTTTCATTGCACGCCACTGCTTTCAATAAGAAACTACTCTTTGGTTTGCTGTGGAAAAAGTATGCAGCAGACCTATTAAAAAAAAATGGAGAAAAAAAGCCAAACATGTATACCTGCAGGTAGTGTTGTTTTATTCAAATTCCTCCCAAAATCTTTCCCAAATTTCAGGCATCTATTGCTGGTTGGACTGTGCACTATGAACCCAGGTATACAAAATCCAAAATCACGCTTTGATTCAATGTACTTGGCCTAGTGAAAAAAAATTTAAAAACATGGCAATTTATGGCTGCTTAAAAATGTCAATTGAAAAAATCAGTGGGTAATATAAAAATTTAGAGATAGAAAGAGACTTAGTAATAACTGCCAGGCTGCGCAAATACATGGTAGCATGGTATATGTCTCAGTCATTTCCCATGAAAATAATTGTTTCCATTGAAAAATACTTGGACCTAATTGCCCTCCTCGATTTTAAGTTATTCCGTTTTGCGTTTGCAAGGACTCTTCCTGAAATCATAACTGGGATATACTATATATTTAATTTTGTGGACAAAATCGACAATTGTGACGAGAAATTAAAAAAATTGCGACTGAGTTACACATCCCGGTATATTTCAAGAGATTAAAATACTTGTGAGGGGAAAAGCAGTACATTGCATATTCGTTAAATTAAGGATCTTAATTTGAAAAGCTTGATAACATGAAGGAAACGCCACTCTCCTCGGAAAAATTTTACGTTTGGAAAAAAAGGGGGGAAAAAAAGAGAAATAAAGTGCATTTGTCTTCTACTGATACTTCAAGATGCTTGAATTTTAATCAGCAATGGACCACTAGACAAGGTACGAATTTCAGCATTCTGATACACGTTTCCTAACCAAAATTTCACGTAGAATACGATACGCACAACGAAAATTACCGAAATGAACTCCTTCCGAAGATATTAATGATTCTTGGTGCGTGAATTCAAAGCACGCGCTCATGAAAACTCAATGCTCTACGTGATTCACATCGCGCGCTAAACGTTATCATAAACGTCTCAGCGATATAAAAATCTGGCAACCTCAGTCTTGACGCTTTGGCTCAGCTATAGCAAATTGCTTATAGTTTGAATAACTCATGGTGGGAAATGAACATTGCTCGATTGAGAAGCTTGCTGAAACCGTTGTAGTGCGCGATTTGACTCTCGTAGAGCTTTGAGTTTCTTGTGAGCGGCCAGTTCAAATTCCTCGTAACTAATGTGAAATAAAAACGTCAATATCTTCGTTAAGAGTTGGTTTCAGTCATTTTCGTTGCGCGAATCGTGTTCTACGTGAAATTTTAGTTCAGAAACATGTATTAGAATGCTAAAATTCGTACCCTGTCTAGTGGTCCATTGAATCAGCTCTGTAATTTGAAAAGACGCCTAGAATGGTCTGTGATTCAAAGTCAGAATAGCATACTCTGCGTTTTGAGCTGGTAGAGCCAGAAATTCTTAAATGGAAAAGGTTTTGTTGCAGATTACATAGTAAGATCAGCAAAAGGAATGACCAAACTATTGTTGCCACTATCTCCGGTTCACATTACAGACGACATTTTTTCCTCAACCACACAGCTAGTAAACTTCAATCTGAAGATAAGGGTAAAATGAAGAATCTTAAAGTGTTGGATTAGATGGAAGTTACGGGATTGACACCTTAATCACTGAAAGGGGTGCAAAACATTCATGAATATAGGTGTAAGTTTACAAATTATAGAGTAATTAGCTTGTCAACTTAGATTTTTAGTTAAGCTAGGAAAGTAGGACTCTCTCCGGAAATTACTTTATTTTGAATATTTAACGACCCGCTCTCTACAGTTTGAAATGTAGTTATTTCAAAGTTCCTTAGATAAAAATCCCCCACCCCTCCAGTTTAGAATTAGCAATCATTACTGTAATTTTTCTGAAAAAGCTTTTACTAGGTTCTTGCAATATTACATTTTTCTTTTCTTTTCTTTTTTAGCGAAGAGCCATAAGATTAATTTTTCTTAGCCTCCTTAAAATGAGAATAATGATAAAATGAGTACTTACATCTTCAGCAATTTGTTTATTCTTTGGACAGTTAGGCTCCCATGTCTGAGCTCCCATTTTCACATCCATCACGCAGGGCTTTAAAAATTCATCGGTTAAGTCCTCCAATCGAATGAATGTGACAACTAAATAAAAAAAAAGGAGAGGTGTTTAATCGTCCCTGAGCAGAAACTTAAAAATGAGGAGTTTTCTAGAGTAGGACTCCAATGGCTTGAATAGGTACCTTTTTTCATAATATTTAAAAAATGGATTTTTGTAAAGACACCTCCACGTGCCTTTACTACATATTATTCTGCAACTTTTGGACCCAGGTGATCATTTTTTTAATGACTTGGTTTTTTAATGACTAATGATTGGTTTAAGGATGACGTAATTTTTAGTGGGGGGGGGGGG